TGTGTTGCATATGGGTGCACAAATAGATTCTCGAAAAAAATTCTGGGCATTATTTTTCACACGTAAGTATTGATTTTCTTTTTTTATGTAATATGACAACTATGTCAAAAAATATCACAATGTCATGTTGGTTTTCTTTCCAGATGTGAAAAAAAAGGGACTTAAATAATCAGGTTAATAGGTTACGTAATATAACTATAATCAAAATATGTTAAATACATTTCAATGTTTCTGTATTATAGCTGGTATCTTCGTTCCTTAAGATACAATGCTACATGGTAGGATTTAAATTGTATAATTGAACGTTTTAGTTAATTCGTTTTAACTTTCATGAAAAGTAAGAAATCAATTGTTACTATTTTTATAATTGTAAAGGTGTTAAATAAAGCAATGCTTTTCTTTATATATTAATTATTATTCATTTTTTAAGTTAAGATAAACTGTTCTGTTGTTGAAAATTTTTTGCATAAACTTACAAATTTCTGAGCAGTATAGTGATAAAATTAAGTAAAATTTACACAATTAAACATGTGAAAAGATGTATCCAAAAACTTATATAGGTGTATTTCTGTAATTCAACTTAATTAAAGGCAGTTTCTTTGAGATTAATAAATATGAAATGCGCATAAACTGAAATCAACGAATTCACATAAATCTGTTTTATTTTATTAAGATTTATTTTCTAACCTAAGCAAGTTCGTGAAATATGCAGAAACATCATTTTTTAAAGGCTTTAATGTTATGCGCATGCATTTAGATTTCGAACAATTTCTTAATAATTTGCTGTACATAGTAAATTATGGATATCATCTTTATTTCTTAAAACAAAAATTCAACAATAGCGAGGGATTTCATTATAAATTTAACATTTTATAAATAAAAAAATTCCTACACCTGAAAGTTTGATACAACTATATCTAAAAGAGGAATCCCCTCTCTTCTTATTAAAACCGGCTGAATCACAACTTCTCTCTTGGCGAGGGAGTGAACGCGCTGCCAATTTTGGCGCGTTTATCGCACACGCTGGCTGAATGTCTGCTGTTTTTTTAAAGATTTATTTTATAGACGCGCGGCATTCAGCGCATATAAACTTTTCGGATAATTTATTAATTCTCGAATAGTATATAGACGTTTTCACTTAAATAAAAATTTCGCGTATATTTTGTAAACATATTCAAAATAACTTATTCTTTAGATGTTTCAGTTTCGTTAGCAGACTAAAATAAATAAGATATGAATAAAAACTTTCAATAGTGTCAAATGGGGAAATAGTTAAAGCGTAGAGTGTGCAGTGTGCAAATAAATTTATCTTAATGACATTTTAACAAAAATTTCCATAAAAACACTGTAAATTCATACTAAAAAAATAACTTAAGAATATGTTGTCATTTAAGTCTGAGGTATATGGAAATAATTGTGCAAGATTCTGAAGAAACACTTTCTTTTAAATGTGTGAAATATTTCATAACATATATGGAAGAAGAAAGTACAGCATTCTGTGTTTTGGATGCTTTTCATCAAATGTAATATAAATACGAACTAGAAACCGTAATAAAAAGTCCTTCCTCTTCAATCAGATCACCTTTGTGTTGCATTGTATTTGTAATACTTCTAAAAATCCAATTTTTACCTAAATTAAAAAAAAGTTATTCCATAAAAGATAATAACTTTGAACGTATATAGAATGAATTTTGTAATTTGAGTTATGTTACAAAATAATTCATAGTTTATATATTTTATACTAATAATTTAGATAAAACCTGTCCAATTTAAGAATGTGTGTTAACCACATTCTTAAATTGTAAAAGGACGACTTAACCACATGTAATTCATTTCAAAACATAAAAAAAAAGCTTATTTTTTATTTTACACAGCAACAGCATTTTCATGCAGTCAAGTTTTTTTAACTGCTAGTTATTATACATAATACTTAATTTTAAACCCATTCTTATTAGAAAGCATAACTAAGAAACTTCTTTTTAAAGCACCACAGTGATTGCAAAGAATGTCGTTAAATTTACAAAAGTATTGAAGATATATTGAACAGCATTATAACAAGAAAGTACTGTACAAAATATGTAAATTTAGCATAACTTCTTTTTTAGTATTTGCATAGTTTCCTCCAAATGAACCTTAATGGGAAGTTATCTTGCGAAAATTTAAAAGTATTAAAATGGCCTCTATTTAAGATGTAACTGCATTTATAATTATTTTGTAATTGCGAATAGATTATATTATTGCAATTAGATTATGCACTTACAACATAATTGCATAAAGTAATGAAATTAAGAGTTCACAGATACAATGTAATATAATTACAATGCAATTACCTAAATTGTAATTATAATCACTTATTTAATACCACAATATTATTACAATCACAATGTAATTTAAATTGGGTACTATATTTGCATACCCTCCACTCAAAAGGAGGGGTACTGATAAGCCTGGAAGTTATTATCAACAAAAAGCCTGTTCAGGACAGTTTGATGACAATTTCCACCGGGCGAAAAGTACATTCTTAAGCCCAGGCAAATCATGACAATAAAAATCATTTAGTCTTATGATTCACTATATTTTAAACCCTAAATTTGAATTCTGCACCAAATTATTTACCTATATTTTAACATACTTTATGAATTATTAGAAGCGATATGGCAAATATCTTCTAAAAATAACTGTAAAATATTTGTATCCATTAATTGATTCAGATACACACTTTTATTATTTAAGTATATCAAAATAACAGTTTCATGTTCCTGAAATACAAAAATTATGGAAAAAGTTAAAGTAATATTCTTAGAAGCATATGATATTAGTCACCAGATGCAAAATTATAGTTAATTTTTTGCCCTAAATACAATTTTATTACACAGTAGTCAAATGTGTATAACTTAATAACATGTTATATAAAAAATTAATGATAATAAGTTTATCAGAAATGAATTAATTCTGCAAATAAACTTTCTGCACTTGAAAATTTTCTACACCTGAGGGGGGGAGGGAGAGATCTAGTAAAATTAGATTTATTATAACTTCAGTTGGACCAAACACCTTCTCTCTATATATATGCATCACTAAAGAAATAAATAAAATTATCATGCTTAAAAAACAGATATACCATACCAGTTTTTTTTCCCCTTGTTACCCTTTACATTGAGAAATAACAAACAGTACAACACTGAAAAATACTATCCTTGAAATTTTGTTTAAATGAAGAAACACACACCATCTTTTTATTTAAGCATTACACTTCAAAAACAGATACACATACCAATTTATTTTCACTAGCCTTTATACTGATAACATGCCATATAAAAATGAAAAGAATTATCCTTGAAATTTAGATAAAATGAAGTAAGTAACACAATGGGAAAATTTATGCACACGGACATCTTTTTTCTATTGCATGTTGTCTGACATGATCCACAAGTGCCTAAAAATGTACCCAAAGAAACGCATTTCAATATTAACAAAAAATTGTTTACAGATTAAAATTCATTCATTTCATACCAGTATTATAAAGATCATGCATGAAACAAATCTGCTTTCCCATACTTTTAAGTAAAACTTTTATACTGGAAAATAGACTATATTTCTATATATTAGAAACAAGAAAATACTAATTTGAATGTTCTGCATTCATTTCTAAATCTTTACTCCATTGCCAAATTGTATAATACTGTGATTATAAATAAACTTGCACAATCCTTGCAATTATTGAAGTCAGATTATATATATTTTGTCTCACACTATTCAATTTATTCTATTGACTTCAGATGTCAATGTCAAAATTCTGGAAGTTATTTTAACCAAGAAACAGTAGTGGGCACCGTGCATAAACAACTCATCTAACTTTTTAACAATAGTGATTATAAAATGAAGAAAAAAAATATATATCATTCCAACGATATTGCAACTATAGTATAATGTTACATATATCTTTAGCAAACATTCAGATTTTATCTTGACTTTCCAAATTATTATTTATTTTTTAATAAATTTCAATATGCTAATGATTTTCATGTTACATTAGTATAAATTCCACAATTAGCACAGGAAAACAAAATCCGCGCTTTATATTAGAAGAGAAATTTCTTTTCCACATTCAAAACATCTACATTGGCGATGTTTGGCGACGGGTACATTAACCCTAGACTAATTTAATTATAGCTATTATTACAGAAATTAGCAGATACTCAGGTTATTGTACACAAGAATTTCACTTTACTTGCACATTATAAACATCAGAGAAGATATAAACTCTAAATGAAGGCGTAATTAACATTATACTTACTAAGCAAAGTTCAGCGCCTGGACCAGGTTTCCAATTGTCTCTTCGGCAATTATTTACCCATATTTTTCTTCTTTCTTCATTTTTAGGAAATTTTACCAATGTATGACCTTTCCGTGAATGATTTGAACAATTAATAGCTGTACATCCGCCCATTTTACACAAAAAAAACACAAAAAATTGTTGCACCTTAACCACTCAGCCGCCATTAAATCTCCCACTTGGGAGCGCGAATGCCTGATGATTCAGCCTGGTTTATAGGAGCCTTAGTTCAGGCGAAATACAGTTTTCCTGTAACGACATTTTGAAATTATTTGAGTTCAGTTACAGAAGATTAAACGTAACCACAAATATTTTGTATTATAAAACATTTTCTATCAAATTTCTTAGTATGGATCAATCCTTGTCTCTTTCCTGCAGTCTCAATATTTAAATTTTGTTTCATGGAGTATTAAAACTTAGCCGTATAAGAAATCGAGCAGTTTTAATTCAATAAAACGACTGTGAGTTTAATTTGTAAAAAACGTACCTACCTTGTAAAAATCCTACCTTGTGAAAAACCTACCTTGTGAAAATTTTATAAGTTTTATAAAAATATTCACATTAAAAATATTTTTAAAATTTTAACACCAACGGATTTCAACCTCTTTATTATTCCGCATTAAAAAATCACACAAGTAAAGAAGAGGAGTACAAGAAATCGGGAACAAACGCTTTGACGTTGCATGCGACACTTGTTATTTATTTTGCATTAGAATGACGCCTGTGGATTAAATTGCACCTTTTGTTTATGACATTTAGCTATATGTCATCTCATTCCATTCTTTGCACTAATGTCGTAGCATAGTGCATCAGAATTTGAATTAAAAACTGTAGTTGGTAAGTTGTTATCAAGCATTACTGACTTTTATATAAAATTTTAAAGAATTAAAAATGTTATATATATATTTTTTTTAAATCGGGAAGTTTTTCTGTCATCTAATTTTGATGTACAAAGCTATTCTTTTGAAAGATATGCCAAGATATAAATCTAACCTCTTTCGGAGTCTTAAGCAATGAAGATGATTTACACCTGTTGCTGCAAGAAATTTTGATTGCTTTTGCCTACTTGTTAGGGAACTCAAGGTTGCGCTTTCCTGTGCTTGTTTGTGGTCATTTAAAATTTCTGTAATTATTATTATTTTTTTTTTAAATTTTATCTCATTAAATAGATTTTTAGTAGCAGTAAACTTTGATAATTTTGTATTTGTACATCTGAAGTGAGTATTTTATATAAAACAAGATTTTATCCGAATTACAGAATCGTAATTTTTTTTCAAATATTTAAGGAATAAACTTGTGTATTAATAATGTATGTGCTTAAAATTGTAATTTAAGATGTGATTTTTTTTTCTCTTTAGTATAGTGTTGCTCATAAGTTATTTGAGCTATATTTTTGTCAAAAAGTTTTGAAGGTATGTGTAGTTGTATGTTTTCCTTTCTGTCTGAGAATCCTTAATTCGTGAAAAATTTTATCCATAAGAGATCTTAAAATTAAATTATCTCTAAAATTAATTTTATTTTTGTATTTATATTCTTTTAAATATAGAATTTGTGCATGTATTAATGCTGGCATATGTAGGTTTTGCTTTATTAAGTTTCAAGAACAAATCTGAAAGATAATAATAATTAATTAATATTCCTGAATTGCAATACAGAATTTATATTTTTGTTGAAAGGCCTTTATCATGTTAAGAATTTATAAACAAGTATTACTAAATGCATACAATCAAGCTTTTATGATAATATAAGTGTAGAGCTATTATAATGTTCAAGATCTAAACTAAACTATGGATTAGATTTTTTCCCTCCTTTTTTGTTATTTATTTTTCTGACTTTATTGCTTTCATGATTCTGTAGTAAAGTACTTAGGTTAAATGCTAATTAATTGCATCTGTGAAGCCTATGTAGCCATGTGATTTAACTGTTAAATGATGATGTGAACTGATAAATATTTTTTTATAAATATGTGAAAAAAATCTACTTAATCAGTACTTTTATTTGAATGTGCTGTAGAACACCAAAATTTTAAAGACTTACTATCCAGAACTACAGATCTTCTCTTCCCTTACTTTATATAAATATTTCAGATTTGTATAATTATTTATACTACTACAAAATTTTTTTTTTTTTTTTTTTTTTCTTAAATGATATGAAGATTTTTTTGAATTGTTTGTCATTATTTTAAATTGATAAAAAATGCCATATCACACTTGCAGTTGAATAAGAATATGTTCTGCAGTTTGTTTAAGTAAAAAATAGCAATTTCTTCGTATAATTCAGTAAGGTAAAATAAAGCATTTTTTGCATTCAGTTTTAGAGCCTATGTGAATAAGAATTTTTTTTTTTATTTTATTTTTTTTTTTTTTTTAAAATTTTAGTTCCTAAAAATGGATTGTAGGTTTAGGCAAGTAAAAAAATAATGATATTTAAATTTGAGCAGAAACGGTTTTTCAACAATTTGTATTATACAAAATGAATTTAAAAATAAATTGTGCAATCTTTATTAAAATGAAATAATTATAATATAATGAATTTTATAAAATGAAATAAGTACAGTAAGAAAAGGGGGAACAGAGTTATGAATGGAGGAAGGCAAAGCAGTTTTCCAAATGAAGTATTTTTAGTTCAGTCTGACACACACTATTGATTCAAGTACACCCAACAGAACAGGGAAAATAGCAAGGCTCGTTATAATAGGGAATATGTGCACAAGCTGTACCAAAGGCCCGGGTTCAAATCTGGAAGAAGGCATAGATGTAAATTGTTTCTCGCCTTATAGGAGGCAACAGTGGCATACCTATTAGGTGCTTCCATAGAAAAGTCTGTTGTACTTTTTAAACTATACATATTTTTATGAGCAGTATTTGGCTGTTTTGAAGAAAAAATATGTTTTTCAAGAAAGATTTTTTTGAAAATTATATTTCTTTGAGGTTTAAGAAGTAAGTATTACCAAATTTCCTCATGTATTTTTGTATCTTTTCTTTGCAAATTTTCCCCACTGCATTTTATAATCAGGTTCTGAAAATTTTTTAAATATCTGCATTACTTTCCTCTTCTGCAGCGCTTACAGAGAATAAGCTCCATTGAATTTTAGGTAAAAGTTTACACTTAGGTGCCTCTTGTTTTTTGGCGATTCTTTTTTTGATGCCAAGATCAGTGCCAGGAAGGTGCAATTTAAAGATGGCTGCGACACAAAACCAAAGTAAGAAGTAAAAAAATTCCACAAACTCGGTGTCTGTGTACACATCGATCCATTTTCACTTAAAAAAGCATTGGAGAATTGCACAAACTAGGCATTATGCACTGCTTTAACTTTGTCCATGTACACATTGATTTATTTTCACTTAAGAAAAATCAGGCAGCTGAAACAAAGTTAAAAACTATCATGGTAACGAGAAATGGGGTTTCATCTCTAAAACTGAAAAAAATTTGTCGCTAATAGAAGGGGCATCCAATTCTACACTAGAGCTGAATTTTAAAATAGATTCATCCATGTAGTGATTGTTTTCATGTGTGTAACAAAGAGAAACCCTTGTAAATTACGCTTGATGCTCACACAGAGTCTTTCCTTTCTGAGTTTTAAACTTTATGCCAACCTAACACTAGAGCTAACCAATTGCAGCTAAGCAAACATGAACTGACATTCAGTCTACAGTTTTGCTGAATCAGCTGAACATTCACCATCCTTCATTATGCATAGATGATTTGAGGCTCAAGGAGTAGGAGAGACAACAATAAGAAAATCAGGTTGGCTAATTGGAATATGGTAACAGGTAGTTTGGCGACATTTTGGTAAGGCGATAAAGGTTACTAGCTAGGACTTTAGCAATAATCTGAGAAGTACGCAGTTCCAGTCACAGGTTATTTTGTGGTGACTTTTATAATGGATAATTTAGAGGGAAAAGAAAATTAATGTAATTTGTTGCATATTTTATTTATTTTATACGTGCAAATGTTCATCCTTGGAAAGGGTATATGCAAGCTGAAGATATAAAAGCTTGCATAGTATACATGTGTTTTAGCGATCAGGTAATTTCATACATGTCCTTTTTACCGACTTCAAAGATTCACAAAATTTTCCTGCATTTTCGTGCAAATTTTTCTATTTTATGAGAAAAATTATTTACATGTTTCATATATAAATTTGCTTTGTAAAAACATTTCTGTGCACGTTTGTTCCACTACTTTCCGGAAACTTCCGATCGTGATTTTAGTTAATAAGCACTTAGAAACAATTTCGCACCTAATCTTCATCATGATTAAACACTTTAATTCCATAAAAGTTATAGCACAAGCGTAATTCGGCTAGCAGATTGTTGGAAAAAAATGTTGAGTAAAAACGAAAACATGCCTTTACTTCGTGAAAACAAAATGCCGTCTCCCCCCAAAAAACTAGCAGGTTGCTGTAGCAGGGTTGGTCGGCGAATTTTCGCCAAAAAATCGCCGAGTTACCAGAATCTGAAGATTCACCGGAAAGTTGCATTAACAAATGAGTTAGAGTGAAGTAGAAATGAAGCTATATCTTTAGATATTTATGTTAATGTATATAATATTACAGTTAATATTACTTTTTATTCTTGTTGTAGGCTCCTTTTAAAGGAATAATGTTGCGAGAGTTACTGTAGTTTATCTATATTACTTTTCAGTTGTTATTTTCTTTCTGTAACCACATCCTCCAGAAATTATGTTATTTGCATAATTTTCTTCTCTGGATTTTCAGATGATAAAGTTAATGCAAAAAAGGAGCAAAATATGTGAGGAAATATGGAATTGAAGGTTTATTTTCATGTACGTAAACAAATACCTACTGCATCAGAAGAAATGCAGTTAATTAAAAAAAACTTTTTATTATTTAAAAAGAGGTTAAACTTTCATTTTGGTAGCATTGTGCTGGCTGCAGTTTGATAGCAATATATCAGTTGCATTAATTTTGAGATTTTCCTTATATGTAATGTAAACAGGGCTGGATTAATATTAAGCAATATGATTGCTATTATGTGTCTTTTGCATTGAAAAATTCAAATTAGATTAATCCATTATTCAACAATCCAAATTATATTTCTTATAAAACTTCTTAAGAAGTATTGCATTAAAATATGAATGTACACTGCACAAAAATAAAAGGGACAGTTCTATATCTCCCATTCTACTGGGCCGATTGATGAAATTCAAATTGCGTTTTTCATATCTCGAAAGCGCGACTTAGGATATATATTAGATTATAGCATTGTTCGAACATAGGTATTTTGACACAAAATCAGACTTTTTCTGAAATAACATACCAGTTTTTTTTCCATATTTTGATTCTACAACTCAAATTATGCCTAGATATTAAATTTTGTAAAATTTGGTGCAAAATTTACAGAAAATTCAAAAAATTATTTTGACACAATATTTTTAGTTTTCGCCAAGAATAATTCACTTGGGAAACTTCTTAATATGTGGACACCAATTTTCCTTTCCCTCCATTATGCTGGAGCGGAAAAAAGGTGTACTTCGTTCCTGCCTTCTTGCATTGTGCGTAAGCGGAAAAAAAGTCTCGTTTCTACTTCCAAATAATTTAGCAAAGTGTCTAAACCATATTTGATGTTTTATCACATTTAACAAGTATGCCAAATTTCAAAATGCACCAATATATAAGCTCGTGTAGATCTTCGGAAATTTTGAATAAGAAAACTGAACTTTTTTGGAGATAATGCTTAGAAATACGTCTACTTTGAGATGATGGTAAAAATTTTATATAATTAAAAAATATTTTTAAAATTTTATAAAAATTATTTAAAAATAAATCATAAAAAATTGCTATATACAGTCAAAAGTCTAATCCGGAGTCGTCGGGACTTATCGTCGCAATTCCGGATTATCGATTTTTCCGGATTATAGATCATCAGTTTAAATCTGGTAAGATATCATGCAGAAATTATAAAATTAAAAATGTGAATCCTTAATTTATGAAATAAAGAGCAATTATGATTTAAAGGGTATAAAAATTTACAAAAAAAAAAAAAAAAAAAAAAAAACTTAATATTTATTTGTTTACATTATTAAACATTTCTTTCGACACGCGCATGCGTAAAGCATACGTTACGCATAGTTGAAATTAGAAAATTGCAACCAGAAAACTATTTGATTTGTATTCGTGATACTTATAATGACGAGGAATTTAATTTAAATCATATCAAAGATGGAGTACATCGAGATGCTGACAGATGAACTTCCAATTCATTGCGCCCCGCAACATCCCCCCCCCCCCCGCGCAGAGCAGCGTGAAATTGATAAACAGATTTCGGAATGGTTAGAGGAACCAGCAGTTCCACTTTTTGTTTGATGGACATCGAAACATACTTTCGCTTTGTAGATCCAGCATCAGAAATTTTGACATAATCGAAAGTTCCATCTTACTTTTATAAAATTGCTCTAACGGTCGGCAAAAAATAATAAGCCAGTTCCAATTCGAAGATTAAGGAACAACGCAATCTGCAACATTAACTGAAATAGATAATTAGATAATTTTAGCTTAGCTTATACCGTCCGTTATACGCTAAACGCGCATGCGTAAACGTATTATGGGCATGCGTAAAGGTATTATGCGCATTGCGTTGACGCATGTGCAGAAAGTTTGTAGCTTTGAGGTCCGGATTAACAACTTTTGACTGTGTAAGTCTAATACATTTCCTAAGTCTTGCTTTTGAGACATGAAAAGCAAAGTTGAATTTTGTCAATCAGCCCAGTAGAACAGGAGGTATAGAACTGTCCCCCCCTTTTTTTTTGTGCAGTGTACAAGTAATATTTTATTAATTAAAGAGTCAAAATTATATATTTTTTAAATGTAAATTTAATCAATGTTTATAAAAAATAATGTCACTGATGTAGAGAAGTCTTGTCTCCATTCTTGTATTCGAAAAGCTATTTAGGAGCTTATCTGCCTGTTTTGGCTTCTATCATTTTTATATAATTAACATTAATTACATACTTTGTGACATTACAAGTCTTCTAATTTTATGTAACTTTTTTTAGAAAAATAACTGCTATAATGGAGCCTCCAATCCTAAATGTTCCTGGTGAATTAACTTTTATAATGCAAGCTGGCATCTTAAGAGAAACGGTGACTGTAAATTCCGGTGATTTTTCTATTCAGAAACTTAAAGATTTAGCTTGCAACTTTTTAGATAAAAAAGTAAGTTTGAAAAATATAAACTTATTTGAGTGAATTAGGTCATCATGTTATTATATAAAAAGTAATAATTTAAAATAATTTGTTTTTATTATTACTTTTATTGTGTAAAACTGATCACAATTATGTGAAGAAAATAAACTCATTACATGTGAGTAAATCTATATTTAGTCTATGCATTTTTGTTTTTAGTTTCCAGATCATGGAATTAGCAAACTTGACCAAAGATTGATATTCTTTCGTCACGATTACAATTTTGAGAACATTTTGGTACCTGTGTCTACAGTTTCTGATGTATTTGATAATGGTCTTATTGAAATTGTTTTAGCAGGTAAATGTTAAAAGAATATTTTTTATTATATTATTCAGTTTAATATTGAAATGTGGATATTTAGTTTATATCCCTTCCTTATAAAGATGTATATAAAATGCTAAGTAACACAGTTGAAAAATTGCCAAATTTAAGATGTTATTTTAAGATGTGTTACTACTTAAAAGAAAATGTTTTCCTAAAATCAATTGTTGAAATATGTATTTTTCCGCAAGTAAAGTAGCAGCTGTTAGTTGGCAAAACTTAATTGATTTTTGAATTTACATATTTTTATGTGTAATAGTAATATATTATTTTTACCATGTGACAAAAAATGAGAATATGCGTTTTATTATTTTCTGAATTACTTATACTCTTTGATTAGAAATACGTTTTCATTGTATTTCTAAACCCGATGATGATTATTTTTAAAAACCACGTTATCAGAAATAGTGTATTGTGACTCATTTTTATTTGATTATTTTTTCTGTCAGCGCTATGGTCAGTATGTTTGTATACTTTTTAAAATTATTGTGACTATGTTTTTGTCAAGTTTATGTGAAGGAAATTGAAATTATTTTGTATATTGTGCCGTATAATCTTGATAAGCATTTCTGTTTTTGATGAAAATGTTTTGTAAACATTCTGGTGGGTTTTTCTTATAGTTTTTCAAATTTGAAATAGATCCCAGTGAGCAATAAAATACAGTAAACTTCAGATAATTCTTGTTATTAAAAAAATTGAAGTGGAAAGTGCTGATGCTTATGAGTAGTTTAAAATATTAATAATCATTATACATAAAATCAACTAATGCATGAAGAATGCATTTTTAATTGCAGATTGTCAATTAAAGTAAAATAGCATACATGATGAAAACAACAGATAACAATTAAGAAAGAAAGTTGCCAAGTGAGTTGTTATAAATCTGTTATTTCAGTACCTGCCTTCTTGAATATAAATAAATCAGAAGCTAAATTCATTAAAGCAAGTGCTTTGGGAGGGAATACTATGAACTGCAGAGAATTATGGATCATTTCTTTAATTTTTCTGTGAATAAAAATTAAAGATATTTGCAGTGATTTGTAACTGGAAAGGGGCAAAAATTTGTTCCACCTCTTCCGGTCAACAATCTGGGAATGTTTTATTAAAAAATATGTGTATGTGTAACCCAAGTAGCAGGGGGCTCCATTCTTTGGGGAAGAAAAGGGTTGGCTGCATTTTTTCTAACTGTGATGCTGAAAACATTCTCGGCATATTGAAGTGGTCATCAGAATCAACTGATGATTCCGAGAAAAGAAGGGACCAATCACTTTCTTAGGAATTAATGGGTGTCTTACATTACTGATTTCCGTTATAAAATTTTACAGCTGCAGGATTTTTGTGTTTCCTGACATCCAGATCCTGCAATTATGTTAATTAGCCTCTGCTCGAACATGAAATGTTGCTTTATCCCTGAATATGATTTTCCAAAGAAATTGATCTTTATTACTGATATGGTCAAGAATCTCTACAGGAAATTCATTATGAATGACGCGATCATTAGGTTTAATTTGTTGACAAATTTGCAATTTATATGCTGTGAGTTTCAATCATTCATGAACAACTTGATGAACTGTTGACCTGAGAATTCGTGTTTGCAGGTTGACAAAGCAGATGGATTTATTGGTACTGCACGCAAACGCATCTTGAATGGCAGAAATATTTTCATCACTGATGCTTGGCCTATCTGCACATGCCAAATATATCTGTTCTTTTGAAACTGTTTTAACCATCTTTCAGTTGATTGTTCGGTCATTGGAGGTTTAAATTCATGTCGGAATCACCTCTAAAGTCTTTTTGGAGACTTAGTTTCCTATAACCAGAGAATGCACATCCCTTTTCAATGCCATTTTGTATGTTAACAAACTAGTTCCTTGTTGTTATTTCCAAAAATTAGAACAAACAAAATTCCTTGAACTAAGAATTATATTGATATAAATTATTTCCTGTTTCTTCATAAAATTACATTTCAATTTAATTTTGTTATCTTGTGATTAAATTAAGGACATCCTGTTTATCATAATGTAACTTAGATGTACACATTAATTCTCTTTGACGCATTATAATATATTTCAGAACATATATATATATATGATTGATTGATTTCAGTTTATTTAATTGAAATATATGTAATATATATAAGGTCTACTGGAATGTTCTGTCTGATAATGTTGTTTCAACTTTTAACATGCATGCAATTTTATGACACTTTATTTTGTATGAATTCCAACAAGGAAAAAATGACACATAAGCATATTAAAATGTAGTGAAAGGTTTCGGTAGAGATGTAGTGTTAGATAGAACGGGCAGAAGATTGTTAAAAATTATGGAGGAGATCATTTCAACCTCAGTGATAACTATGCTCTAATCAGTCATCTTTCACTGATAATGATACTTTCAAGAGCTTAATAGAGCAAGATAATTTTTTTGACACATCAGAGTTGGTGGAAAAGCTTAACTCAGCTCAACAAACCATTTTAGACTGTATTTGGAGACTAAACTTGGTCTATAAATATTCCAGATGGATGCCTCATGAGTTAAGTGAGAAACATTTCCATGATCAAGTCGCCTTATGAACATCTCCACTTGCTTGGAGCAAGAAGGAACCCTTCTTGGACTAGATAATGTCTGGTGATGAAAAATTCATTACATATGAAAACAATAAGAAAAGAGCTTTCAGCCCGGACAACCTGCCATCTGCACCTCTAAATCGAGCTTAAGCCTGAATAAGGTAATGCTGTATATATGGTGGGATATCCAAGGGCTAATACATTACAAGCTTTTGAAAGCTAACAAAAAGCTCAGTTTGAAGAGATACTGTCTGCAAATAGATGATTTAAACAAAAGAGACGAAGAAACAAAGCCTGCAGTGTTCAATCACAAACATATCATATTGCATTCACGATAATGCCAGACCACATGCTGCTTTGACGACTCTCGCCAAAAAATCACATATTTAGGCTGGGAAATTTTGCTGCATGCACTATACTCTCTAGACATAGCACCCTCCGGTTATCCTTGTTTCTTTTCTTTGCAATTTTTTTTAAGGGGGGAAAATTCAAAACTGAAGCAGATGTCAGAAGTACCACTTCAGTTTATTGTCCCTAAGGATAAGAACATTTTTCAAAAATGGTATTTAAAAATTACCATCATGCTGGCAAGATCTCGCAAGTAATGATGTAAATTGTGCAAACATTATTAAAGGTGTGAAAACATTTGGGAGCTTCCCAAATGGACAGAATTTTCTGGTAGAACGTATATATATATATATATATATATTATATATAAATTCTCCACCCAATAATTTCATTCAGTATTCTAAGTAATAGTCGATTTCAAATGTTTGGTTTCTTTGGTTGATTAGACTTACTTTTATCTATAAATGATTGTTGAATTTGAACTATTTATATCCAATGTTTGTTTTTAAGTAAACTTTCATTTGCATTCATAATTAGTCAAATCAGCATGAGATTTCAGAGTAAAATGCATTTAAAATTTTTCCTTAGTCATGACATTCATTATTGATAGACCTATTGAAAAGACATACTTTCGTTTTGGATTGATTGACAGATCTTGAACCCAAATCATTCGTATTTTTAACTCATCAGCAGTTAACATAGGAGTTGAGAAAGTTAGATTTCCTATCTGCATATGCATGCTCTGCATGTTTTCTTCATTATTAGAATTTTAGCATGAATTTTATGAACAGCTTTGCAAAGTTAAATCTTTTCTAGAAATTTGATATACCAACTAATACTTTATTCAACTTCCGTCATTAGTTACTTTGACAATGATGCAAGGCTTTGCATGCAAACAAATGCAGGCTGAAGTCTGCATTTGTTTGCTTTGGCTTGTTGAGGACCTACCAGAATGTGATTTACTTTTTATCACTATCTGAGAAAATGTTTTGTTAGAAGAGCGACCAATCATATATTACTGATTTCTTTAGTTAGTATTTTCAAATAGTTTTTTTATTTAACTCAAATTTTTATGTAGTGTTTTAGGTAAATAAAAATATGTATACAGTCAAAAGTTGTTAATCCGGACTCGTTGGGACTTCGATTCCGGATTATCGATTTTTCCGGATTATAGAACATCAGTTTAAATCGCGTAAGATGGTATGCAGAAATTCTAAAATTAAAAATATGAAACTGTAATTTATGAAATAAAGAACAATTATGATCTAAAGGGTATCAAAATTTACAAAAAAAAATAGCTTAATATTTATTTGTTTACTTTATTAAACATTTCTTTCAATGTAAGTTGTTTAAGTTGCTTCATTTTATGTGATAATACTTTCTCTTTAATTCTATAAACAGACATAATTTTTTGTTCAGTTACAAAGTTTCGCTGTTCAAGTCCGTTAATTGCTGTGCCGAGAATACCGACTAAATTGTCAATCGAAATTTTTTCATTTTCACTAACTTCTCTCTGTCACATTCTTCATGTCTTTATCCATTTTTTGCAGCAATTCCACTTTTTGTTTGATGGACATCAGAACATACTTTCGTTTTGTACGATCCTTTGGGAGCTCCAGAATCGGAAATTCTATTTGACATAATTGAAAGTTCAAGTTTACTTTTATAGTATTGCTCTTACAGTCTGCAAAAAATAATAAGCCGGATCCAATTCGAAAATTAAGGAACAACGCAATCATCAACATTAACTGAAATAGATAATTAGATAATTTTAGCTTATACCGTCCGTTATACATAAAACGCGCACGCAAAAACGTATTCTGCGCTTGCGCACACGCAAATGCGCAGTCGTAAGAGGTCTTACATGCACGCGTAAATGCCTATGCGCATGTGTCAACGCTGCTCATGCGCAGAAAGTTTTTAGCTTTGAGGTCTGGATTATAGATCATTCCGAATTAACGACTTTTGACTGTATAATTTTAATGCAAGTCACTGCATATTTGAATAATACATAATGATTTAATTTTGAATTATTAATTAATTGTAACAGTTATTTGAATATTTATAAATTTCACAATATATTTTGAGATATTCATTTTTCTATTCTGTATTATTGCATGGCTTTGTAATTGCATTATTCTTAGCCATTATATATATAAATTAGGTTCACTGTGCTTATTCGGTCAGTATCTGCGAAATACCTATGGGTGACTTAACCCTTCGAGCCGCGAAAACGCGCGCTTATCGCGGAGGCCGGCATTGTCTTCCGCGAGCGTCTTTCCAGGGCCGGGGGCTTTTTTGCTACTAAGCCTAAATCCATGAAATTTCCGAAGTATCAATGCATTGTTCAATAATGCTCTATAGAGTATTTAAACGGCTTATGCTTTATAGATATTTTTATATATATACTTTAATTACCTAATTTCTTGTTTAAATGCATATTTTACACATTTTATTTTAATTACTCACCATTTTGTGACTTTTAACATTATAATCTGAAAACTAAATATATTGCTTAAAATTCTCTTTTCGTATGAAAAATTTTAAAACGGGGATCTACACACAGTCCTACGTTACATTCCTTGAACTCGTAATAACTCATTTGCCGTTTTGGAGGATTTTTCCGGGAATGTGAACAAACGAAGCATCGTCATCTCATTTTCTTGTCAGTCTCTTCTGAACAAAGTTTTGGAAAATGTCTTTCAGTTAATCTTTCAGAATCAATATCAGAATATCAGAATTTCAGAATCAATATCTGAAATATTTTGCATCATTTCTGCTATTTCATGCTCTGTTAAGCATTTTCGACGCTTCGACATTGAAACGGTAAAAACAGAAAGAATTCACGTCTAACAAGATCTAATTATTTTCTAAAAACTTAACTGTAAACGGAAATACTCAACGCTTTAGCGCATATAAAACTTCTACTTACAATAAACAACTACCACGTGCGAATAAAGTGCGATTTAAAGAGACTTCATAAATCACGCCATTCGGAAACATTTAGTTCCACGTTTGTGTATATAATCAAAAACACGTGTATGTGAGTCATGCTTCTCTCATTTCAAGTAGAAGGTCTAATGCACATGTATCTGAAACCATATGGACATAAAGTGCCATCTTGTGGCAGAAATTATAGTTTGAAAAACGTTCCAAGGTACTGGCACAAATACGTGACAGTCGGTAGAGAATGCAACAATGCTCTGGCACGCCTGTGTCTCGGCCGGTAGATAAGTGTGTTCGTTGCTGGCACGTATACGTGACAGTCGGCACGAAGGGGTTAATAATGAGATTTGACTTTAGTAATGTTCCCTTGAAAACTTTCTTGATAGTTACTGTAAAGGGGGAATGTTTTACTTCATAGCAGTTATTACTAATTAAGTTATTAAATAAATGTCTTTTTCCTTAGGAAATAATGCTTCAGATGATACGCAGATGAGACCTCATGCTCTTATGCTGCATTCTTACAAGTCTCCAACATTTTGTGACTTTTGTGGGGAAATGCTTTTTGGTTTAGTTCGGCAAGGTTTAAAGTGTGAAGGTAATGTTGTAATGAATTTTTGACATTATTATTAGTTTAGAATGAAATGTATATTTTGGAAATGGCATTTTATGTCAGTATATGTTTTTGATAATATTTATTCTAAAAATCCTATCAGTTATTAAAATAAATTCTGGATTCATTATATGATTTTCTTTTTTTCTGCATTCAGTTTCAATTTAGCACTTAACCAGTTACCTTTGCTGTTTGAACATGACATCTGAGATGTTTTAATTTTGTATAATGATAAGGAAGTTATATTCAAATCAAGTAAATTAAGCAACTGCTAAAAATTAAACAGAATAAGCTTATTTGCAACAGCAAAATGGGAAACATCATTTAACAGTATCAGAATGTTAATTTTTGAGTTTGATAGAGATATGTATCTGGAAAAAAAGGAGAGGTAAGAAAAAAATTAACATGTATTTTTATGATATAATTTTTCATGAGAATCGGTTAAAAAGAGCCGAAAACAATCAAAAATCCAATGAAGGAGTAAACTTTACTATTTTTAAAGCAATTATTAATAATTTTGTGCACTATAAACAGATTGAGGTACTTACTGATTATCCCCATCCCCACTGAAAAGTTGCAAAAACATAGTCAAGAGACATAATAATATGTTGGCAAAAAGTATTTATATAGCAGCTGAGGTATGTACATAACACATATCTGTTTTGGCCAGCACTTAATATCAAAGTTTTTGCAGTTTGCTGATGTTTAAGTGGAAACAAATCATTGTGCACATAAAAAGGAAAATAGTACACAAAAAAAGTTTTGTTATTGATGTTTCTTGACTTTTTAATTTTATTGATTGCTTTTCTATGGAATTTTTGGGTAGCTGCCATTTTGTGTTGCCATTTACGCATTAGCTTAGTTCCAGTGCGACTTTTTAGTGGAGTTGTGAATAATCATAAAGTACCGAGATTGTTTATTAACACCACGAGCAAATGCCTGATGATACAAGTGGAGTATTTTACTTTAATTAGAGTTTTTAAAATTTAATTGATGATCATATTTATTGGACCTAAAAAATGTCTTGGAAGTTATTTTTGAAAGCAGTTTTTAAACTTCGAAGTGGGGCTTCTAAGAGATTGCTCTCGGTCTTTAACCATGAATACTTTCCTAAAGAATGAGGTCACATATTTTGCTGATTTCCATACAACAGGTCAGATACATAAGCAGATATACAGCCAACACACACGTTCAAGCACATGCATACACTTACATGTTTTTTAGGATGAGAGGAGTAAAAAATAAAAAGCATTTAAAATTGTGATGCAATTATTATGTATTCTGTAATGATGAAAAAGTAGTGCTAGAAGTGGTAACTTAGTAACATGGTGATGACAGTATTCTTCACATCGAAAAGAAAATGCCAATATTTAAAATTAAGACAGAAAAGGAATCTTTTTTTGGTGTAGATTTTGAATAAAACTATTGGTTTTGAAGGAGATCAGACACAGCCTCCTTTTCTTCAGGAGAGGCAGGGGGAGATTTCTTTTTTTTTTAAAGCTGCTACTTTTGTTGTATTAAATCAATGAACAACTTTAAAACCAAATCAGGTATATATATGTTTTAATGTAATGGACTTTTCAGTATATACATAAGTTCATACTTAAAAATCATGAAGATCAAAACGCTCTTTCTGTTGCTAAGATTTTTATAATCCTTACATAATCTGGATAGTTTATGAGTAGTGTCCTTCATATGTTTTTAAAGTACTGAACAGTTTGGTAATTTACTTTTATGCTGATGTTATATCATATTCCTGTAATGAAGTACATTATCAGAAAATGGTAAAGAAGTATTTTAATGCAATCAGACTTTTTAGAGCTGTATTACAACCACATATTATCTGTGCATTCTTTGTATTTGTTATATTTGTTGTTTTGAATTTTTCCTGGATCATACTTCTTATGTTATATTTGGAATATTGAATGTTAAAATGTATACAATTCTACATATATATATATATATAAATTAGAGAATTTTTAGAACTGATTCATCACTATAAATGAAAATTGTATTCAGTGTCCAGATAAAAGGAAAGGGCATGAATAATTAAACATGTCTTTTAATTAAACAATATCTTTTCAACTTTCGAGGATGCTGCTTTTGTTAGTTTTGTTTTCTAACTGTATAATTAGAAAGTTTCACATAAAGGTATCGTGTATGTACAACTTTATTGGCTTTCATGAATTAATCTTTTATACACAACTATATTTGAATTTTGGCAATGGCCATCTGTCTTTCCATTGCCACAGAATATTTTCTGTAAAACTTTAGGACATTAGTAATAAAGTGAGTTTGACCACTGATCACTAATAATTTGAATTAGGTTGTGTTCCCAGTCAACAAGGCAGCTGCATAGTGAGTTTTCATCTTTTGTTAACCTGAGTTTTTTTCCTGAGAAAGTCTTTCTGAAAGCATCCCTCCTGCTGTCTCACCTACAATTAGATCTTACCTGCATTCCCATAATTTAGTAGCAATAACATAAATATTTAGAAGTACTTAATTCAAAAGATATCAAAGCATGAAAATAATCACAAAATGTTTTTAATTACTTCTGTAAGATCAGGTAAAGATTTAGAAAAGAAGGAGCTTTGGGAGATACTTATGTATTAGCATGACAGCCTTAGTAGAAGTTGCCAAATTTTCAGAATTACCAAAATCTGACAATCATGTTCACAGCAGTTCTTCAGTTTTAGCAACTAATGACCACATTTTCCTGTATATTCTTTTAGATGCAGTCTAAATTTCAAAAGTTTTTATAAAGAAATCATGACAATTTTTGTCTTAAACAAAATTTTAAAATTGTGCACTTGTGGATACTTGTGGGATTTGCTTGCAGTAAAATTGATGCAAGGGTACAACATTTTCCATAAAATTACTGAAGGCCATAGTTGTTTTGAATCCTTTCCTGAAATGATTACCATGAAATTTCCATCAGATTTAAAAAGACAGCCTGTTTGTAAGTAGGTTTATTGGTTGATTTTCTGGATAAATTTGTAATTAAAATGCATATGTAATGTAATGCATATGTAATAAGTGATTTTTCATAATTAATTTCATTTTTTCCCTTCTGTAAAAAATAACCAAACTACACCAAGGTGGTTTTGCTAATATGTAAATACTCTTTGTGACACATATATAAAAGATTTCAAAATATTTTATGAATACCATCTCTATGAAAAATGTACTGTATTACCAATTGGTTGGTTGACTTAATTAATGCAAAGCATGCAAGGACTGTTTGTCAAAGGAGGAGTAAATTTTTCAGATACTTTCTAAGAGAAACTGTCTTGTATTCTCATTAGGTGGAGAAGCTACAATAGTGCCCATATGGCTAGCTCATTTACTGGAATATGAAGAGAAAGTGGCTTGTATTCTCATTAGGTGGAGAAGCTACAATAGTGCCCACATGGCTAGCTCATTTACTGGAATATGAACTTGTTTGGAATTACTGGTATTCAGCTTCAAACTTACTAAACACATAAACATAACAGTATATATGCAAATGCAGAATAACGGATTTCATACCATTCTTCACTGATAGTTAAGCCTTTCAATGGCCAAGTTCATGAGGCTGCTATATGTTGAAGTTTGGCTACTAGTAAATGTTTTATGTTAAATGGAGGTTTTTAAAATGCAGAAGTGTCATTTGATTATTAGTAATCTGATTTTGATCTGTCAGTGATCTAGATTTTCAACTAGTGTGCAGATTATATGGATTTTTTAAAAAAAATTTACGACGATTTTTCTTATAATTCATCAGTATTGAAAACTTTTTTTTTTGTGCTTTTGCTCCGTGTGATGTATAATGTGATTTAAAATGTGAAATATGTAATATGTGTAATCTGTGCGATTTGGATGTACTTTAAAATATTTAAAACATTTTAAGTTTAGGAATGGCAAATATTTAACTAATAAGCCAGTTTTAAATAATAAGCCAGTTTTCATGTAAATTTTTTTTTATTAAATATATCTAAATATTTTGGGTCACTGTATTATGTCTCTGTTTTACTATTATATGTATGATCTAACTATTGTTATTCCACAGAGTGTAAAACATTGATCTTTTATTCTGTATAAAAAATAGCCAGATTCCACATTTTTCTTAAGATTGTAACTGTAGTTTTTTTTTTTTTTTTTTTTTTGGTTCCCTCTCTTTTATAGACAGCAGTTTCTGATGTTACTTCGTAATGATATATCTAGCTGATGTAATTTAAACACTTTTATAATGCATTCAATTCATAATTTTTTGAACATTTAGAGGATAATTGAAGCTAACAAATGGTGTTTCTAAAAGTGAATATTAGAATGGAATCTTTTCATTTTTCATTTCCTATTCTGGAATCTTGAAGTAATTTGATTTTAAATCTAAGTTTTTGAAACCTTCTCATAGTGTGTTTTTAAATTTGTTTCATCTGGTATTGACTGTATGAATTTGCAGTCTATTTTATTTATTTAATCTTGACATTATATGCCTGGATTATTGCTTTTAAACAGATAGTAAAAATTTTCCCACACCCTTTTAAGTTATTGCTTGAATGTGACCTTTAACTTATGTCAAATCTTGATATTATGATACCTACTTGCATGATAATAGGGGAGCTAGCTGCCATAGCCTTGGGCCTGCATTCATATTCCAAAGAAGGGATAGTTTTTTTTTTTTTTTTTGTCTTTACAGCATGGGGCATTTAAAATCTGTTAAAAGATTGGTGGAAAGGAAAGAGATATGGAAGACCTTTGAATCCATTCCCTTTGGGATTCTTGTTCAAAATTGGGGTGGAACTGGTAACATTTGTACTGTCACCTTTAAGGTGCTCAAAGTCTAAGCCAAGATAACCCTTTGCCTCTTGCTCATCATGAATATATGGTCATGATCTGAAGCTCTTGTAACAACAATAGCTTGATTTTATAATTTTAAGTTTTTATGAGTTTTGTCCTTTTGTTTTCCCATCGAAAAATGTGTACATGGTGGTGATTTACAAAAA